AAAAACAAGTAAGAAAGTCTAAGTTCGGGCGGAGCCGAACATTAAATACCCGGCGCAAGTATTAAATATATGTTTTTTCACCCTTCCGAAACCTTCCGCTAGATGGTAAGCCGAGGTGTATCAATTTTGAGTAAATTAGCGTCCTTCAATTTCGAAATATTGAAGTTTCAAGCATTTATTAAATTTACCGTTATATGAGAATCGGCCGATATTTTAGTCCGATTTCAATAATTTTCAACGTTTTGCTTACACGTGGCAAGTACAATAACCATACCGAGTTTGGTACAAATTGGTAGAACGGTTACCGATATACTTATATGTGATCATAAGTGGGCGGTGCCACGCCCATTTTCCAAAATTTTACCATAAACGTATTTCTTGGTAAAGAATTGTTGCAAGCATCAATTTTGAATAAATTAGCTTCAATATTTAATGATTTATCGAAGATTTTGTATTTCTCTAAATTACCGTTATATGGGATGTGGGCGTGGTTATTGTCCGATTTTAAAAATTTTCTGCGATTTTGTATGCTGTACCAAGACCAACAACTGTGCCAAGTTTGGAAGAAATTGGTGCAGCGGTTACCAAGATATACACATGTAACCATAAGTGGGCGTGGCTACGCCCATTTTCCAAAAATTTATAATATTCTTATTTTTCGTCTAAAACTTATTATAAATATAAATTTTGAGTGAATAATCTCCAGTAGTTACTAAAATATCGCAGTTTTCGTATTTCTGAAAATTACCGTTATGTGGGAAGTAGGCGTGGTTATTGAGCGATTTTAATAATTTTCGGCCATTTGGTATGTTATGCGAAGGCCAACAACTGTGCCAAGTTTGAAAGAAATTGGTGCAGCGGTTACCAAGATATACACATGTAACCATAAGTGGGCGTGGCTACGCCCATTTTCCAAAAATTTATAATATTCTTATTTTTCGTCTAAAAATTATTGTAAATATCAATTTTGAGTGAATTATCTTCAGTAGTTACTAAAATATCGCAGTTTTCGTATTTCTGGAAATTACCGTTATATGGGAAGTGGACGTGGTTAAAGTCCGATTTCGCCCATTTTCAATACCAACCTACCTTGGATTAAGGGAAACCTACATACCAAATTTCGTTGAGATATCTCAATTTTTGCTCGAGTTATCGTGTACACGGACGGATGGACAGACGGACCGACGGACGGGCAGACAGACATGGCTTAATCGATTTCTTTCTTCATCCTGATCATTTATGTATACGTTAGTCTATATCTATCTCGATTCGTTTTGGCTGTTACAAACAACCGTTATGTGAACAAAATTAATATACCCTTGTGCACAAGTGCGCTCGGGTATAATTACCACCTTAAATATAATACGTGAAGGCATTTTTTGTTAATTACATCAGATTTGCCCAGTTCATTCATTTAAAAAAATTAGGTCTCAATCCCTTCTCAGGCTTCAGATGTGCAATGACGTTTTATTTTTTCGAAGAGGGTTGCCACCCATGTGAAAAATTATAAGGTATGGGCGGTTCGCTGGAATACGAAAAATTAGTTGGCCTCTAGATGTGCAATAATGTTTTTTTTTTTTAATGGAGTTGCCGCCTGCCTAAAAAATTTATAAGATCCACACCGTTCGTTGCATTAAAAATATAAGTTGTCAAAAAAAGGGCTTGGCAATTAAGTATGCAATAAGGCTTTATTTATTTTTATAGGGTTGTCACCTACTTTCTCCAAATGCTTATATGTATGTACTTACTTATTTACGCATTCAGCGCGTGGTAAAGCTTCGCGAATACTAGACCATCTAGTAAAAAATAAAATAAAATATGAGGCATTTCATGTCACCGCGGCCACCTCAGTGCGCGACCTCTAAGGATTTGGATGAAAGTTTATGAGATTGAAGGTCTAGGTCAGCGTGGCCACAGATACATTTTTTTCCTACCTAAATTTCCTACCATAACCAACCAAAACCTACCAAACCTTTTTTTTGATTTTTAATATTTTTTTTCAATGTCAAATTTATTAAAAACATAGCTAACATAACATTTAGTAAAACTAAAACAAGGCTGGTACAAAAAAAAATATCAATATAAAAAATCTTGTTGCAGCCAAGATACGCACCCGCCTCTGTGCAGCAAAAAATGTGCGCCCAAATATGCAAGGAAAGCTTAACGTCGAAAAGCTGCAATCACAACAGACAGCCAGCGCTTTCGCTACTCGACTCTCACACCTGCTCTCAGAGAGCACTCTTCAACAAACCGACATATGCGAGCAGTGGAACCACATTTCCCGCTCATTAAGTACCGCCGCCGAAGAAGTAGTCGGATTTCAGCGAGCCCGAAAGAACAACTGGTACGATGAGGAGTGTCAGGAAGCTGCAGAGAAAAAAGATGCCGCCTACAGGGCCACGCTGCGATCGGGCGCAACGCGCGCTATGTCGGACCGCTATAGGGGTCTGAAGAGGGAAGCGAGACGTATTTGCCGCAACAAGAAGAGAGAGGCAGAAATACGTGAGTGCGAAGAGCTTGAAATGCTGGCCGATAGGAGGAATGCCCGAAAATTTTACCTCTCTGGTGGTTAGGCGACTTACGGAAGGTTTAAAGACCGGGCGCACTCCTGTAAGAACAATAATGGCGACCTAGTAACGGATGTCCAGAGCGTACCTAAATTATGGAGGGAACACTTTTCCGCCCTACTAAATGGTAGCAGCACGGAAAGTTGTGGAGAAGAAGAACCCGAGCCCGCAGTCGATGATGACGGAGTCGACGTTCCACCGCCTGACTATGACGAGGTACGTATAGCAATAACGCGGCTGAAAAACAACAAAGCCGCTGGAGCTGACAGCCTGCCAGCTGAGCTATTCAAGTACGGCGGCGAGGAGTTGATAAGGTGCATGCATCAACTCTTGTGCAGAATATGGTCAGATGAACGCATGCCCGACGACTAGAATTTAAGTGTGCTCTGCCCATTCCACAAGAAAGGTGACCCCGCCATTCGCGCCAACTACCGCGGGATCAGCCTTCTAAGCATAGGTTACAAGGTCTTATCGAGCGTATTGTGTGAAAGACTGAAGCCCACCGTCAATGAACTGATTGGGCCTTATCAGTGTGGCTTTAGACCTGGCAAATCCACCATAGACCAGGTATTCACAATACGCCAAATCTTGGAAAAGACCCGCGAGAAAAGGATCGACACTCACCACCTATTTGTCGACTTTAAAGCCGCTTTTGACAGCACTAAAAGCAGTTGCCTATACGCCGCTATGTCTGAATTTGGCATCCCCTCAAAACTCATACGGCTGTGTAAAATGACGTTGAGCAATACCACCAGCTCCGTCAGAATTGGAAAAGACCTCTCCGAGCCGTTCGCCACAAAACGGGGTTTCAGACAGGGCGACTCCCTTTCGTGTGACTTCTTTAATCTGATGTTGGAGAAGATAATAAGAGCTGGAGAACTGAACCGCTCAGGAACAATTTAATACAAGAGCGTGCAATTGCTGGCTTATGCCGATGACATCGACATCATCGGTAACAAAAACCGCGAAGTCTGTTCTGCCTTTTCCAAGTTGGATAGGGAAGCAAAGCGCATGGGTCTGGTGGTAAACGAGGACAAGACGAAGTATCTCCTGTCATCAAACAAACAGTCAGCACATTCGCGCCATGGCACCCACGTCACTGTTGACAGTAACAATTTCGAGAAAGTAGAGAATTTCGTTTACTTGGGAACCAGCATTAACACCGATAATAATGTCAGCATTGAAATCCAACGTGGAATCACTCTTGCCAACAAGTGCTACTTTGGACTGAGTAGGCAATTCAGGAGTAAAGTCCTCTCTCGACGTACGAAAACCACGCTCTATAAGTCACTCATCATGCCCGTGCTGGTATATGGCGCAGAAGCACGGACAATGACAACATCCGATGAGGCGGCTCTTGGACTGTTTGAGAGAAAGATTTTGCGGAAGATTTACGGGCCTTTGCGCGTTGGCGACGGCGAGTACCGCAGACGATGGAACGATGAGCTGTATGAGCTTTACAACGATATGGACATAGTGCAGCGAATTAAAATACAGCGGTTCCGCTGGCTTGGTCATTTCGTTCGAATGGACACCGACGCTCCAGCTCTGAAAGTATTCACCTCGGAACCCGCTGGTGGTAGCAGAGGAAGAGGGAGGCCCCCACTGCGATGGAAGAAGGACTTGGCTTCACTTGGCGTTTCCAATTGGCGTCAGTTGGCACAGAGGAGAAACGACTGGCGTGCTTTGCTGAACTCGGCCAAAATCGCTTAGGCGGTTACAGCGCCAAAAAAGAAGAAGAAGAGAAGACATACATATCGTCGTTAGATACGAATAAAGTCGCGCGCTCAAAAGTTGACAGCGAAAACAGACGCGTAACAAATTTCAGCGAAGAAGGATTCCTAACATAGGCGAGGGCAAAGGCAGACGCGTTAACCTCTTTTACGGCGAAGAAAGACGAAGAAGACTTATTTTTGCAGTCAACTATGTTTGCGAGTATACGAATCCCCCAAAAAGTTTTTCCGGAATGATGTTGAATCCATGTTTACGCGTCTTTTTTCGCAAATTTTTTTCATGCATCTTTTTCGCTGTCAAAACACCCGAACGTCTTTATTCGTGTCAAGTGACTACATATATTATTATTATTACCTCGGAGATACCCGCGTTGCAACCTTAGAAGATATATTGTGCTAATTCCGAATATACTCTGGGGTTTCCTTCACCGGCCCACAAAACCTACTGTCAGTCTCTACAGAAAGACCCTTTAATTCAATCGGTACGTTAACTTGCAGTGTTCTGTCAGGTAGCCAGTAAGAGTTTTAAATTCAAGGTATATTTCGGAGTTTCTCTTGAAAAGTTATGAATATCTTTGATTGTATTCCCTTCGACTTCCGCCAGTGTGCAGCAATTCCCAGCTAGCTCCTAAGTAGGTCTGCAGTGTATCCTTTAGATGTACCGCAGAAAGGCTCGGAACCATGCAAACGCATTTGCAAGATGTTGCAAGTTGTTGCCATCAAACCCTTCATGTCCCTGAACCCTCCACAACGGTACGCTATTGCGGGCGCCCAGGTGGCTCAAGAGTTCACAAGCCTTGATGCCGTTTTAAAATACTCTAAGGCTTCTACGATAAAATTCGAGAAGACAGATTTCGATTGCGAAGACCTGCGCCCAGAATATGGTTGGGTACAAGCCCATTGGCAGACTTTCCTGGAATCTTGGTCCAAGTACGCCATAAAGTATATATCGATGTTCGTATTGTATATTGGCAATAATAAGGGTATACGTTTGTACTGAGGAATCATGTTTTCGGCCGCCGGTATACGAACGCACCGGTGAAATATTCATTTAAAAAAAAATTGCTAAAATGTTTGGAGATACATATTTTCTATTTTTATAACTATTACTCGTAGACCCGAAACCTACCAAAATCCAATCAAGCCTACCAACCTACCAAATCGAAAAAAACCTACCAGTTTTGGTAGGAAAAGCCCATGTTTGGTAACACTGGTCTAGGTGACATGAATTACCGATAGAACGTAGGGTGGCCTATTTACACGGAACTTAAATTTTAAGAAAACGTCATACAAACCTTTCTTTAAGGTGCTGTATCTTGGAAACCTTTTAACGAAACTTAATGAAAAAAAAAATGTATTTCTTCCGTTTTATTATGGGCTTTAATTGTACATTTTTTACATTAATGTGCAACGTATAAAAAAAAAATTAGTTGAACATTTTTTTATTTTTTTTTGATTATAGAATTTTTAAAAATTTTTATTTTTACATATAAACATTGTCTATAGTATCAGCTTTGAGTGCCCAAATAGGCTTAATGGGCTACTTATGTGTATGGACTCTAGATCGTCTAACGCTCAAGCAATGCGATAAATAAACATTGAAATTTTATGAAATTGTATATTTTTGAAAGAGGAAAGATGTGTAAAAAACAAAAACAATATGAACAAATCATAATAACTTTACTAAAGGGTCTGAAATCACGAAAATCCCTTCAAGGAAATGGCAGAATTGAACTTTGTTGCAAGTTTACATAGGAAATCTGCTTGCGACGGGATTGGAGGCAATTTTAAGAAAGGTAAGAATAATTTAGATGTAATTGTTAAAGTTTGTTGAATTTTTATAATTTTTGTACGTAGTTTGTAATGTTGATTAAAGGGGCGCTGGTTATGTAATGTGCTAGATTTTATAAAAAATTATACATATTAAATAGACAAAAGAAAAATAGCTAAAACTGGCCAAAGGTCACTTAACTTAATCAAGAGACCACAAGTTTATGTTATACGTACAATAAACGACAGAGCGCATAACGAAAATTCAATTTTATTCGCAGTTAACAGGCTTCCACACAGATGAGAAAGATACTAAAACGTAAAGAAATAAATTCATTAGTAAGATCGAAATTTGCAAGTGTTTATAAATTTATTCACACACATACATATATGGCATACATATGGACATCTTTGTGCTCACCAAATATGCAAAAGTTAGATACGTAATTGCAAATTATTTATGTACCCTTTCAAATATCGTCATCCTCAGCGTTGGCTGCATTGGAAGCGAGAGACCGTAAGCTTCCTCACCGTTCTTATCCCCTGGGAATTGCGTATCAAGGAGATCGAGTCGCATTTTGGCTCCGGCGTAGCATCCCATTTCACTTTTCTTCGCTGGCTTATGTGGGTAAACATCATGATTGCCATACCATTGGTGGCATTCGTCATCGGGCCTGAGGTGAGTTACGCTGAATAATTCTAATCATTTCGTCAATGTCAAATTTTCGCGTCATAATGCCATCTTGTCTGCAAACTTTCATTCCATATCTATGTACGTACATATGTATGTATGTATGTACTTACTTTTCATCATTCCTACGTCAATGTCGTCATCTGCGTAAACCGCGGTCATTTATCAATGTGTTGGACTTCGACAGTACTTTGCTACGAAGAAAGATGAGACCGATCCCCGTAAGCGTATGACCGAGCATGAGTATAAAGTGGCTGGAAATTTCTTTACATACTGGGAATTCGAAGGTTACATTAAATATTCGCCAATGTTTTACGGGTAAGTAAAAAAATAAATATAATAATCAAAAAAATGTTATTAGTAATTTTGTATACATTTGTATGCAATTAAAGGCAATGACTGAACAACTTTGTTTTATAAAATTTATCATAATTTGCCATTTTTGCTTTCAGTTATTATTCGAACATATCCGGTGCCAGTACGTTGGGCTATAAATTACCAATGGCTTACTTTCTAACAGCTGTTGTTGTTTATATATACAGCTTTGTGGCCACCCTGAGGAAGTAAGTAAAGCAAGAGTAAACTGTTATTATTTAAATTTCAAAAATAGAAATTCAAATGAATTATTTGATTTTCCTTAAAATTGATTTACAACTTTAAAGTTATTCCAAAATTGTAAGATATGTTTGTAGCTTGAAATATTTTATAGAATGAATAGCGAAAAATCAGGGTCAGGAGATTCTCACTAATGATTATTCCTTCTTATTTATTTATGAGATTTGTCACGGTAGAGGATATTCCATATTTATTTATCGCGCATGAATAATGCTAGCAAATTTAACTTGGCTCATTGTTCGAGTACTTACGTCCACTTGTTGCGTACGTGCAGAGTGCATTTGCCTAAACCGTATGCATGTAAATGCGTAACGAAAAGAGATATAATTTGCTTTATAATCTATGAATCTCAAGTGTTTATTATCCAATATGTTTGATTACAATGAAAATTCTAATTCAAAGTGCCAGAGGGGCGGATTTGAAAGTTAACGATGTGAAAGCGGTGGCGGTCAGTAGAAGACTAAAAAACTTAGGCTGGCGCGCTCGGGTCTCCTCGTACCGTCGATTTACAATTCAAAAATCGGAAAAACACGCCACCCAAATTTACGATATACAAGTTAATATTCTAAAAAGGTTTACAATTCATTTGGTAGGTAATCCATCTTCAAATTTGAAAAAATACAAAATTTAAAAAGCAAAATCGCGCAGCTGTCCCTCGTCTACAAATCTATCAGATTTATGCCCATGTTCTCAACACTCATATTCGGAGTGCGATTAACAAAAAATTTTCGGCTGTCTTTCAATCGTGGTGAACCGGTTTGGAAAATCGAGTCCATCACCATTTTATCGCACACCATCTTAAAAAGAGGCGCATATAGAGATGATACTTATTTCATGCACCCTTACTAATTCCTCTTACTCATTAAATAGTTTGAGTTTTCTTTTTTAAACAGATGACAACCCTCATTAATATCCTTAATATTCAAACTAAATATTTCCTAAGACTCCTTCGCTTGATGTCCACATTTTAATATTTCATACAATAACTTATGTATAATTTAAATAAAATGGGCTTTTTAAACAGATGGCGCCACTGTTAAATATATTTTCAAACTAAAACCTCTTTAAACCTTTTTCGTGTGGCACCCATATTCTTATACATATTTAAATTTTCTAATTCCCTTAATTCAAGTTGTATTTAATTTAAAAAACGGAGAACAACGCCCCTACATTCAGTTTAGAAATAAAGTTATCTCAAAGCCATTTTGATTGATATATGTACATATTATAGTAACTTATTTAACCAATTGTATACATTCACATGTGACCGCTGTGTTGTAGTGGTTAGCAGTGCGCGCTACCATTCCGAAGGGCCTGGGCTCAAGCCCGATTCAAACCAACATCAAAAAATTAGAAGCAAAAAAAGTTTTTCTAATAACAGTCGCCCCTCGGCAGGCAATGGCAAACCTCCGAGTGTGTTTCTGCCATGAAAAACAGCTTCTCAAAAAAATACAATCGCCATTCGGAGTCGACGTAAAACTTTATGCCCCCTTTGTGCGACAACATCAAGGTGCACGCCACAAATCGGAAGAAAAGCTCGGCCAAACACTAACATATGTGTTAGCGCCAATCTATTATTATTATACATTCAGTTTAAATTTATAAACAGATGGTAAAAATGTTTAAATATTTTCAAAGTAAAACCTTTTTCGTCTGACACCCGTATTGTGATGCATTATATATTATCTAATTCGCTTAATTTGAGTAGAATTAAATTTTTCAAACAAGTGACAACCTTTTATACATGTAGTTTGGAAATAAAGTTTTTTCAAAACCATTTTGATTGATATCCTCTTCTTCTTCTTTATTGTCGCTGTAACCACCTACGCGATTTTGGCCGAGTAAAAAACAGCACACCAGTCATTTATCTTCTGTGCCAACTGACTCCAATTGGAAATGGCAAGTGAAACCAAGTCCTTCTCCACCTGGAACGCAGAGGAGGCCTTCCTGAGGCATCGCGACACGCGTTGAACATTTTCGTCCATTCGTCTATATTGTTGTAAAGCTCTTAGAGCTCATCGTTCCATCGTCTGCGGTATTCGCCATCGCTTCATCAGATGTTTTAATTGTCCATGCCGTCGCGCCATATACCAGTAGCTCGTTTTTGTAACAATTCTCTACCAACGCGAATCCATATATGAATTCGCCGCCGTTTTCTCTACTGCTAATGAGTAGTAGAGTATGATGTATATTCTCTACCAGTAGAGAAATAATCGGTAGAGAAGAGTTACAGAAACGAGCTACAGGACAGGCTTGATGAGTGACTTTACTTCCCAATTTCCTACTCAGTCTAAAGTAGCACTTGTTGGCAAGAATGATTCTCCGTTGGAATTATTATTGGTGTTAACGCTGATTCCGAAATAAACGAAGTCGTCTACTTTTTCAAACTTGTAATCAACAGTGTCGAGGGTGCCAAGAAGCATATGCTCTAACTGTTGTTTTGTCCTCGTTCACCAACAGACCCATTCGTTTTGCTTCTCTATCTAGCCCCGAGAAGGCAGAACAGACGTAGCCATGGGCGTACGCAGGAGCAAGCCCCCTCCCCTAAATTCCAAAGTTTCATTGTGAGTTTATTTCTATTAACTTATAATCAATTTCCGATTCAAAAAATTTGTGCAATGAATTAAAACTTTGGGTATCTTCACATCAATTTCGGTAGTTTTGGTAAACTGCTGGTTGTTCCTCGATAATTTTATCAACTGTGAACGTCCTTTTCAGCTTACTTTTGTTAGTCTGATAAACAGTCATTTACTTAAAAAAGGTAAAATAATTATTATCTGCAAAGAACGTAAATCTATAAGAAGAGATAACACGTTATAATTGTAACGAGTGGGAACATCAGGAGTGGGCTTTCTCTTTTACCCAAATACGTTTTGTGATTGGATGAAAAGAGAAGGCGCGCTCCTGATGTTCACACTCGATACAATTATAACGTGTTGTCTCCTCTTATAGATTTACGTTCTTTATTGTCTGTTAAGATTTTCTCTTATTTTATACTTGAATTTATGTTTAGTTATGCTTAGCGTTCACAGAGTTGTTGTAGAAAAAACAAAAATGAAATCATCACTAAAACAATTTATCGATTTGCAGAAGACACTCGAAGACTATTGTTTAAATCGGGGCTGCTCAAAATTTTTATAATGAAGTGAAATGACAATATATCTAAAAAATTTATGTGTACACTAAAGGCCTCGCCAGATAGAAATTATTTTCTGCGTCACAGGGATGCTTTTGACTGACATCGAAGTTAACTCTGTGATTTTGAATAGAAGACGCCGCATTGACAACGCATGCATTAGAGGTATACGCCGCCGGGCCACGCCGCCGCCGCCGCCGTTCTTTGTCATTTCACACGCGCCGCCGCCGAGTTACGAAAATATCGGCGCGGCGGCGGCGTTCGGCGCCTAAGGAATTTTGTACAAAATTTTCATATTGTATGCACATTGAAATACATCGTTTGAAGGAACTAAATACTACTCGTATAAAAACACTATTTTACGAAATGAAAATTACATTTTTAAAAGGGTTTTTTTTTTGCATAACTTGGGCCACTGAACATTAAAAAAAAAGCGTAACTCAGAAAAAAACATATGTGACACGTTTTTCGATCGAAAGCGTTTATTACAGTTAAATTAGGGTCGAATACTGGTAATCTGACGATTTTTTCCGCAGTAGAAATTTTTTTTTAATACTACAACAATACTACTTTTTTATATACTACATCAACAAGAAAGTTATACTTTAACGCCAATATCTCAGAAAGCTGTTTTAACAGAAGCGCCCTTATTGCATCTAACTTCTCAATTATTGGAGATAAAACAAAGACTAGTGATTTTCCTGTGTTTTTTTTTTAACATTTTAAACAGAATTTTAATAAAAAGCAAACACTTTTTTTGCTAATTTTTACATTCGTAAGTTACTCTATTCTGGGGTCCCACAGACGTATACAAGAAATAGGTGGCTGTGTAAAAATTACGTTAGTATTCTTATGTAGTGGTCAAGCCCCAGGAAGGTTTTGCTCTCGCGCATCGCAATATTTTCTACACAGAATTAAAGTCCCCCTTTTTGGTAAAAATTACTATTATTTTGCATTACATTCTGCTCTCCTTAGAAAAATTTGGCGCTTAATATATTAGTGGAAATTTTAACCATTTATAAGCCATTTTTCAAACAGTGGGTCAAAAAGACCCGTTCTGGTGGGAGTTGATGGGTTAAACTTTTGGAAAAAAGTAGGCCAATCTTATTTTCCGCAAACCCGCAAAAAATAACCCGCAAAAAATCCTAAGAACTCCGTAATTTAACATAACGGTTGATAAGCTTATTGCAAAAATTTATTGATAGCGACATAAATTACCCCAATAACTTAACCTTTAAATTTTTTTATTTCTTTAAATTGAAATAGTACATACGGATTTGCAGAGTACATAGAGATGTATGTATATTAGGGTGCCCATCGAAAATCGTTTTTTTGTACGTTAGTACTACATATTTTCAAATTGTGGAAATTATCGATGGTCTAATTTTAAAAAATTCTTTGAAATTCAAGCAAAAATAGTCATTCAAAAACTCATGAATCTAGAAAATCGTAGTTTCTGACCTAAATCGACAGGCCGCGACCTCTAAATGGCCTTTAAAAAATCTATAAAAATAGGCAATAATATTTCTCATAAAAACGAATCAAATTAGGGGGTTGGGTCTTTAAATTTTCAAAAAAAGCATTTTCGATGGTAAACCTAATGTATGTACTATATAGACTTTCTTCTGTTCGGCAGCAGTCAATGAATGAATTAAATAGAATTATAATCTGATGACATGATAAGATTAGAAGCTTCATGGCTCTTTGGAATCTACCTTATGGGCAGTAGCGCCGGCGTTTCCAGACGCGCCGGCGTCGCCGCCGCCGCCGATTATTTTTGAAGTTGACCACGCCGCCGCCGCAAAGCCTGTC